GTTGTTGTTGTTATGTGCCGTCGAGTTGCTTGCGACTCATAGCAACCCTATGTACAACAGCCCTAAACTCCGCTCTGTCCTGTGCCAATCGCACTGTCTCTGACACTTCCATCCCGATTATCCCAGTCTCTGAATCAATCCACCTCATAGAGGGCCTTCCTCTCCTGCACCGTCCCGCCACCCTCCCAAGCATGATGTCCTTCTCCAAGCACCGGTCTCTCCTCACAACATGTCCAAAGTATGTTAGACGGAGCCTCAGAATCCTTGCCTCCAAGGAGCCACCCGGTTTAACCCTTTCCAGGATGAATCTGTTTTTCCTAGCAGTCCATGGTATTCTCAATACTCTTCTCCACCACCACAGCTCAAAAGCTCCAACTCTCTGATGCATAACAAGTGATTGTGAAGACCATGGCCTGTATCAAACGCACCTTCGTCTCCAGAGAGACACCATGGCTCTTCAGTACTTTGGAAGCAAAATACTGCAGAAGACCATTAAAAATGGCTAGAAGAGTACAAAGAACTGTCAGAAGTTCAAGCAGGATATAGAAGCAGCTGTGGCACCAGGGATATCATTGCTGATGTCAGATGGATCCTGGTTTAAAGAATGGTTGTTCTTAAGTGCCATCGAGTTGTAGGTGATTCATAGAGACCCTGTGAATGAAAGACCTTGTATAACTTTCATCCTTTCTCCAGGTTCACAGGGTTTCCAAAGGCAAGATATTTTGGAAGTGGATGCCCCTCCTGCTTCCAAGCTTGTTTTAATCGGGGAGCTCCAACACTGCCCACCACTGGTGACCATTATTGCGTTTGACACATCAGTGTCACAGTGGTTCAGCATCACAGCAACCATGAGTTACCTCTGTACAGCAAATGGACAGACCAGGGCTATATGAAGAATGTTTGAACAAAAACAATTAAAAAACAGGCCTGAGGACCATGGATTAAAGTCACCCAATACAAAAAAAAAAATAGCTACATGCTTTATTGACTATGCAAAGGCATTTCGCTGTGTGAATCATAACAAGTTAAAGCTAACCTTAAGAATGAGAATCCTAGCACACTTAATTGTGCTCATGTGTAACATGAGACCAAGCTGTTGTACCAACACAGCAAAGGAATACCACATGGTTAAAAATTAAGAAAGGACTGTGTCAAGGTTGTATCCTCTCTGCATACATATTCAATCAATATGCTGAGCAAATTATCCAAGAAACTGGCTCTATGAAGAAGAACGTGGCATCAAGATCAGAGAAAGACTCATCAGTGACCTGCATTACGTAGATGACACAACCTTGCTTGCACAAAGGTAGGAGGACTTGAGGCACTTGCTGCAGAAGATCAAAGAATACAGCCTACAATATGGATTGCATCTCAAAGTCAAGAAAACAAAAATTCTTACCTTTGAACTGAGAGGTAACATCATGATAGACGGAGAAATTTGGATCTACAATCAACACCCTCAGTACCAGCAATCAGGGAATCAGGAAACGTACTGCACTGGGAAAGTCTGCAATTAGAAACTTCGCCAAATTATTGAGGAGCAATGATGTCAGTTTGAGGACTGAGGTGCATCTGATTCAGGTCATGAGTTTCTTTGATCACTTGCTATGCACTTGAGAGCTTGAAAATAAGGATGAAAGAAGAATTATTGATGTCTTTGAGCTGTGGTGTTGGAAAAAGAGTTCTGACAACCCTATGGACTGCCAAAAGAACAAACAAATATGTCTTGGAGAAGGTGTAGCCAGAGTGCTCTTTGGAGGCAAAGATGATAAAGTATCGTCTCCCATAATTCAGGCATGTTACTAGGAGAGATTATTCCTTGGAGAGGGATATCATGCTTGGGAAGGTGGTGGGTCAGTGAATGAGAGGAAGTCCTTCAACGAGGAGAACTGACACAGTGACTGCAGCAATGTGCTTGAGTGTGTCAGGAAGGGTGAGGAAGGCACAGAGTTCAGATATGCCCTTCACAGGGTCGCTATGGTTAGGTGCCAACTAACCACAACAATAATGTAAAAGTTACAATGCAAAAAAAAATTTACTTTCCTAGAAATTACCAGCACAGTACTATTTTTTAAAAAATGGTAAATATTGGTGTTCATTTTCTTATAATAAGACAAATACAATGGCACATATATTCTTTTTGATGTAATTAATCATTCTAGGTTATTGTTTTTTATCTTTAGTTTCCTATATTTATACCTATATTGAAATATAGGCTCAACATTTCAGCTAGTTAAGTGATGTCAATGTCAACTAGACCAATATATGGAAGTCAATAAAATAACTAAAATTTAGCTTTAATTTAAGTGGATTCATGTCACAGATAAAGTCCAAAATGGCTCTAAATAGTTTTGCAGAAAATCAGCATTTTGTCCAATAGAATGTCAACAAGAAATTTTTCAGTATTCTAAAGGTGACCTGCAAAGAACTTTTCAAGAAGTCTAGCCTAATACCACCCCATCATGTATTTTACCACCAAGTAAGAACAAACCCCAGACTTCCCTTTGACTTTTCCTCAAGATCCTCTGAGCTACTTTTATCTTACCTACCTATATGAATGACATTGTTCAAAATGTCCCAAAACAAAGTTCCACTCCACTGTCAGCCATTTTCCTTTTGTTTAAATCCAGATCTCTTTTTGGATAGAAATGTTACTATATATATGAATATATATATGAATATATATATATATATATTCATTTGACCTACCTTCTGATCAATTAAGTTAGCAAGAGAACAATTCAAATATGGACAGTAACATCAAGTGATACATGTCAAAGGGCAATTAGATTAGTTCTTAATTATATATTTTGAACTTTTTATATTGCTCTGCCTATCTTAAGTGAGCTCCGGTGGCCTAGTGGTAAGGAGATGCACTGCCAACTCAAAGGTATGCAGTTTGAATTCTATCCTAAATATTCTGGAATGTTGTCTCCCAATAAGTTATAAACATCAAACCTTGGGAAATGAGCTATCTAAATCTTATTTGCTGTTCTGGTGACTGCTATGTGATGTACATTAATTTGCTTAGATGAAAGTATTTGCTATTAAAAAACACACACACCAAAAAACCATTCAAAGTAAAAGATGAACATTTAATTACTTTTAAATAATATATGTACCAATTTACATGCTATACATTCCCAAACACACTGACAGTAAATCAAACTCTATACGACATGTACACAATCAGCTTTTAGCCAATATATATATATATCCTGTGGATCACTGATGATGTTACCGATGTCTTAGTGTATGTGTAAGGAGATAAACACATTTATGTCTCAAGTTAAAGACTCAGACAATATACCAAAGAGTTAATGAAATACAAGAAGTCTGCAATGGAAGATTCCAAAATAAAAATCAGTGACTGGAACCAAGTAACAAGGCACAAACGTGTCCCTTTGCTGTCAGAGAGATTAGTGTTTCCATAAACTACAATTTACAGGGCATTTTTCTCATTACATATTGTGCTAAAGAAAAGGAATGTGGAAAATAAGAAGGATTAGCTAAAGTCTCAAAGAAAACATGCTTTTTTTCCATTTGGGGGAAATAATTGTCATGTTCAAAACTAATACAAGAGATACAGATGTGGTGAGGGTGAGAGAGATCCTACAGAGATTTCCCAGGGCCCTTATGGTACCCTATGCCGCTCATGATGCTGAAAACATCAACTACAATCCTGGCTGAACAGTACTGCCAATTTTGCCAATTGTAAAAAATATCATCTGTTTTCAATTTTTTAGGTGATAATTTAAAGTGAATTTGATTGTTTTTGGTCATTTATAGATAATGGACTACTACATGAAATAGACTGTTAAAAAGACTTGGAAAAATGAAATCCTTCCTAGGAATTGGGTGGTTCTGTTAAATATTAGCTTTATATCAGGCTCTCCTTAATTTTTCCTTCTTCCATAAGTAACATGAGAAAGAACAATTACTGGTGGTTTGTTTTTTAAACCAGAAGTATTTGGAGAAACTGAAAGTCACTGAAAGATAAAGCAATTTTTTTTACATGTACTATTCCTTAAAATATGCACTATTTCTTGTTTCTGAAAACATAGCAGTGTTGTATTTCTTAATTTACATAGTTTCCAATGGAATAAAGTCAATCATAAGAGAAAAATCAACCGAATGTAGTAATCTGTATATAGAAAACAGAAAAAATATACTCTCTGTTTAACAGATCAATAACCTACCTATGTTTTAAAGAAAAACTTATCAAATTAATGCTTTAAAAATTGCAATTAGAAGAAGACTTTTTGCTTTGACTAATTTTGAATATGGAAGGTGACCAGCTAAGCAAGAATTAAGCAGTGTACTTTGGCAACTGTTTATACAGGAGTGGTTTCCTTAGGATGGCATGCAACTCCTGCAGTTACGAGAACACCATTCTTTACAAATGAGCAAGATGGACCAACATGAAAACAAAAATAGAAATCTTGTTTCAAGCTATAAAACTTAAAGGCAAAGAATGAGCTGAAAATTTATTTTAAGGCTTTCTTAGAAATATTATCCATGGTACTTCAACATTAAACACTATTAACTGGCAAAATATTTGTAGGTATTCATAGTTACTTTACATAATTGAAAGCACATGCCATGTTCATTATTAAGTAAGGACCCATTTCATCAAGTTTTGCTTACTGACAATTAAGTTAAACTTATGAAAGCTCATCCATGTTTGGCTTACCACATGAATCATACAAAAGAGTCAATTCACCAGTGTACAGTGCAAATTGTGTTCTGGGTAAATTCCCCCAAAATATCGCTTACTTCTTATAGAACTGAATGTCACTCTTTGCTTAAAAATGCAATTAAACTTGACCTGTTTCTCTCACAAGAACAGTTTTGTTTTGTTTTTCCTCAACTATAAGCCTACTGTTAAACCACAAGATCACTAGAAAAATCCCTTTTTGGTCATGAGGCCCAGACCATCTTTGCAATAGCACAGGTTCTTGCACCACAACCTCCAGTTCAGAAGACACCCACAGAGGACTCTAGCAAGTCATCCTCGCCACGCCAAACTCGAGGCTGACAACGCCTGGCTCCGCCTTGGAGAAGGTCTCTGAGTAGTCGCTGTACCGATTGTCCGCGGAGTTGCTGCCCTCTATTGTTCGAAGAGCATCACTCACAGGCAGGAGAGTCTGTTCCTTAAAGCACAAGGACGTTTTGAGGCTAGGCGATTCGGGACAAACTGAATGTAACAATTCCTTGGTGAGGATACCATCTGTTTGTTTATTTTTGTGCCGCTTAATCTTCTAAAATAAATCCAAATTGGAAAGAAATTACTAACTGCATATACTACATGGTCAATACATGCTAAGGGGTTTTTTTTTACTAATTTTTTTATTATTAATTTTAATGAACATTTATAGACACTTTAGAGTCCCATTCATTCACTGTTGCACTTTTCTTCTTGCATGCCCCTCTCCCCCCAGTTCGTTCTTCTCTTTGAAAAGTAAAAGAAAAATTCTTTCATTGGTATACAATCCCTACTCCCAAGTCCAGTCCACTATGCAGCCTTCAATCTAGACTCCTGTCATGACAATAATACCTAATCATATCGATTCTGTGGCTGGAGTATTGGGAATAAGTGCGTTTGAGATGGCTAGGTTGGCACAGGATAGAATGGCATTTAGGGCTCTTGTACATAGGGTCGCTATGAGTTGCAAGTGACTCGATGGCACATAACAACAACATATCCCTTTTAAACAGTTCTCTCCCTCATCAGTACACATGCAGTATACATTATTTATCCCATCTTTCTCAGTCTCACCCAAACCCCAATGTCAGTCCCGTTTTACAACAGTGGCACTATGAGACAATAAGTCCTTTTGTGACTGAGATATTTCACTCAGCATAAAGTCCTCCAGGGTCACCCATTTTGAATAATATTGCATGAATTCCTTGTTTTTTCAATGCAGCATAGTATTCCATTGTGTGAATATACCATAGCTTCTCCATCCATTAGCTAATTTTTAAAAAAGCAATTAAAAAAATTTCTGCAAATGTTTTGCATGAAATGCAAATGGTTATCTCAAAAACATTAAAATCTAGTAGAGAAGAGTAAGACATGAGTGAAAACCTTTATTGTTTCCAACTCAAATAACTGAAATACTTGTCATTTTCCTATTTATCTTAAAAAATCAATTCATCCAGACTTGAATGAGGAAAGTTACTATGCTTTCACTTTTGAAGACGGCATATGCTACCAAGAAAGTGTGGCAAGTAAATGTTTTATAAAGAAAGATTTATATGAGTCATTCATCTTGAAATCACAAACTAATTTAATGAAAGATTTCAATGACTCTAAGGAACTTTTTCCTACACAGTTTGCCATAAAGGGTTTGCCAAGTGAACACACCAGGTTCCCACACAATGGAACTTTTCCTTCCAAAGAACAGAGGAGTAAGAAAGTATTCTTTGGAGGAGACTCTTGTTCCTCCAACCTTTGCACCCATCTCCAGACTGTGTGCTTGTCTCTCTCTCAAAATATCCTCCTACTGGTGGCACAGAAATAAAGCAATGGCCTGCGCACCCTGCCAAAGGCTGGTGGTTCGAAGACATCAGGCATGCCACAGCAGAAAGAGATGGGGTAGTCTGCACCCATAAATATTCCCAGCCCCAAAAGGCAGTTCTACCATGTCCTGTAAGGTCACTAAGAGTGAGGTGACTTGCCAGCAGTGGGCTTGGTTCCCTAGCTAAGTAACTTCTGTATCTAAAAGCTGTCTAAGGAATATATGCACACCAGAAAGGCAGGCCAGAAAGAGATAGATTTTACAGCAAAGAAAATGTTATAGGAAAACCTCAAGGTGGAAGAGCTTTCTTAAACAGGTAGTGATACAACATAAAACATTATTTGATGACATAAAATGTTAAAATGTCTCTATAAAACATACCCTAAGTAAAGTGGAATATCAGGTATGACAGGACAAGGCTAGCTGTCAACAAAGAATTACTATCTGACACACAATAAAACCTAAAAAAGCTGGAATGTGTCAGGAGGAAAAGTCAATACTTCTGTATAAAAACCCTAAAAGGATTGCTGACAGGTCAGCTGGGTGACTAACCAAGCAGCTATGGGCTGGGATCCACCAGCCACTCCACTGAAGAAAGACAGTTTCCTCCTGTAAAGATTTACAGCCTCGGAAAGCTGGTGGAGGGTTCTTGTGAGGTAGAATCAACTTGATAGCAATGGATTTGGGCTGGGTTTTAATAAATCTAACCTAGGGTCAGGAATCTCTGGTGGCTTCAGTGGTAAGGAATTGCATTGCCAATCCAAAGGAATGCAGTTTGAATCCACCAGCTGCTCTGCAGGAAAAAGATGGGCAATCTCCTCCTATGCGATTTACTGCCTTTTCTTTTAAAATATATACTAAAATTATTTCAAATGATGCAAAACAATGCTGCAAATTGTTCATGGACACCAACATGTAGCAAAGTACAAAAATATAATGGAACAATTAACATCAAATCTAGGGCAGTGAATCCTGGCTCAACGTAGGTGTGAGGGAGGAAGGCAGACTGGGTAGTGATACAGAGAGGTCTTAAGATAGGTCACAGTGAGATACCATCTCACTCCAGTAGCAGTGGTAAAGTTTAACAGGACAGCAAGTAATAAATGTTGGAGAGATGTGGTGAAATAGGAATTCTTATACATTGTTGGAGGGATTAAAAAATGGTACAACCACTCTAGAAGGCAGTTTGGTATTTCCTCAAAAAAGCTGAACACTGAAATTCCATATGGCCCAGCTATTCCACTATTTGGAATATATTCTGAGAAAATGAGAACTGAAGCTCAAATGGGCACTTGTACACCAATGTTCATAGCAGCATTATTCACCCATTACAAGAACATGAAAACAGCCCAGATGTCTAACCACAAACGCATGGACTCAGAAGTTGTGGTACATTCATACAATGGAATACTATGTAGCACACAGGAGCAATGATTTGGTAAATGATGACCCAACTTGAGAGGGACTGGAGAACATTATGCTGAGTGAACCAACTCAGTCCCATAAGGACAAATACTGTATAAAACCATTATTGTAGAATGTGTATGAGGATTCAAGTTGGGGGAGAGTGGAAGTAGAGCAGTGAGAATGGGCAGGGCTGGGGTGGGGTGTTAATCACAGTATCACACAATTCAATGGGTAGGTGGGGGTGAACGAAATGAGAAGGATCTTGTATGAAAAACAATGTATTTGAACTTTGTAAATGTATCAGTATAAAATAAAAAAAATTAAAAAGAGAGTGAAGCTATTAAAATTAAAACCCAAATCAAAGTGAAATTAAAAAAAAATAGGTCTATGGGTAATTTCTTAAAGCAAAATCAGAAAGTTCTGCAGCAGATCTGGACATGCTGAGCTCTCACCAAGCTAAGGGTGAGCATCTGGATATGCGCTGCCTTTCTTGCTATTCTTCACACATTTCAATGTCTTCTAAAACACTGACAATGCCACTCAAACAAAATTATTCAATCAAAGTAGAGGAGACATGATCTGAAGCACCCAATAAGGATGCTTATGAGGTTAATTCACACAGTAATCCACTTGCTAAACAAATAAGGAAATAAACCAACTTGATAAACGACAAGAGATAACTTCAGAGTACTTACAGATTCCAGGTCTTTAATCTCTTTTTCTAATTGCTTATTCTGCTCATTCATATTCATAACTATGTTAAACACAGATTGCCTAGGATGCAATGTTCGATCAAATTGGTGGTACATGCTTCTCCAAAACCTTCATGATAAGGGAAAAAAAGAGTTTCAATACATTGTGCTTGAGAACAAACAGTATAAATGAGTCCATTAGGTGACTTACTTAAAATTGAAAGAGATGGTACTTGGCTCCAAGACTGTAAACTTCTGAGATGTGGAATCGTAGAGAGGATTGATGTACTTTGTTTGGTCATCCAAAAGAAATGGCCACAGGGAGTACGTCTTCTCCTTCAACCTTAATGATAATCAAAAACATAAAGATATTCCTACCGTTGAAAAAGCGTCAGTGCAAAGACTCCTCACTGCAAATTGCTGGGCTTCCATTCACAGTCTAACTTCACCCTGGCTCTGAAGTCTGCCTTCTCTCTTCTTCTTTTCGCCCATAACCATGCCCCTAATAAAACCATGCCTCTCAAATGCAACACAGAATGTTTTCTCTCACATGATAGCTTAAAAGATTCCTCTGTTAGCTCATATAATTTCATATAAACTTGCCAGACCTTTGTCAAATGACCATACACATATATACAAAATAAAAGTAAAATATTACAATGAAATGTGCAAGGAGTTGGAGTCAGAAAATCAAAAGGGCCAAACTTGTTCAGCATTTCTTAAGCTCAAGGAACTGAAGAACAAATTCAAACCTCAAGTTGCTCTAATCAAGGATGCTTTAGGCAGAATATTAAATGATCCAGGAAATAATAAAAGAAGATGAAAAGAATGTACTGAGTAATTGTATCGAAAGGAATTGGCAGACACAGAAGAATTAAATTAAACAACATAGGCAAGAGCCTATGGTGATGAAGGAAGAAGTTCAAGCTGCTTTCAAGGATATAGCAAAAAATAAGGCACCAGGAATAGATGGTATGCCAACTGACATATTTCAGCTACCAGATGCTGCCCTGGACGTGCTCACCAAGCTGTGCCAAGAAATCTGGAGAACAACCACTTGGCCAACTGACTGGAGGACATCTATATTTGTTCCCATCCCAAAGAAGGGTGACCCAACAGTGTGTGGAAACTATAGAACAATATCATTGATTTCACATACAAGCAAGATTCTGCTGAAGCCTATCCAAAAACGACTGGAACAGCACATCAGCAGAGAACTGCCAGAAGTCCAGGCTGGGTTTAGAAGGGGTCGTGGTACTAGGGATATTGTAGCTGATGTTAGATGGATCTTGGCTGAAAGCAGGGAATACCAGAGGAATGTCTATCTGTGCTTCATTGATTATGCAAAGGCGCTTGGCTGTGTGGACCATAACAAACTATCACTGACTCTGAGAAGAATGTGAATCCCAGAACACTTGATCATTCTAATGCGAAACCTATACTTGAACCAAGAAGCAGTCGTCAGAACAGAGCAAGGAAACACTGCATGGTTCAAAATTGGGAAGGGTGTACGCCAAGGATGTGTCCTGTCTCCATACCTTTTCAACCTGTATGCAGAACAGATCATCCGGGAGGCTGGGCTCTATGAGGAGAAATGCGCATCAGGATTGGTGGAAGATCTATCAACAATCTGCGTTATGCAGATGACACAACCCTGCTTGCTGAAACTGAAGAGGACCTCATGCACTTGCTGCAGAGGGTCAAGGACTGCAGCCTTCAGTATGGACTGAGGCTCAATGTCAAGAAGACAAAGGTTTTTACCTCTGGACCAATTGGCAGCATCAGGATGGATGGTGAAGAGACTGAGATTGTTCACAGCTTTAGGTTGCTTGGCTCAACAATCAACACCCTTGGCACCAGCACCCAGGAAATTAAAAGACGTATTACAATGGGAAAGTCTGCTGTTAGGGACCTCTCTAAAGTACTCAAGAGCAACGGTGTGTCTCTTTAAACTAAGGTGAGTCTGATATAGTCCATGGTCTTTGCAATCACTTGTTGTGCATCAGAGAGTTGGACAATGACTAGAGAGGATAGAAGGATAATTGATGCCTTTGAGCTTTGGTGTTGAAGAAGAGTACTGAGGGTACTGTGGACTGCTAAGAAAACAAACAGATTCATCCTGGGGGGGTTAAACCTGGCTGCTCCTTGGAGGCAAGGATTCTGAGGCTTCGTCTGACAAACTTTGGTCATGCTGTAAGGAGAGACTGGTCCTTGGAGAAGGACATCATGTTTGGGAGGGTGGAGGGCAGGCATAGGCGCAGAAGGGGAAGGCCCTCTGAGGGGTGGATTGATTCGGTGACTGGGGTAATCGGGATGTGTGTGTCGGAGACAATGAGATTGGCACAGGACAGAACAGAGTTTAAGGTTGTTGTACATAGGGTCACTATGAGTCACAAGCCACTCAATGGCACATAACAACAACATACCTCCCTACTTGGCCTTGGTCCCTCAACCCTGTATCTGGTCGGGCGCAGCAAATAATGCAGGGCAGAGCAAAATTAGCAGTAAAGAAATGGGGGCAAATCACAACATTATGTATAATTTTTTTAAAATGCCAATTCAATTTTAGATTGATGAGTAAGTAGGGAAAGGAAGGAATGGTTTTAGACAGTATGCAGGGAATTTAATGTGGGCAGAGGAACACAGGATAGCTCATTTTTCTATGACCCCCAAGATACCTATTTTCTTTTAAAAAAGACCATGAGGAAACACCAACTCTTTCACCAGCTTTTGCTTTGTGAGGATGCATTCACTACTTTTCAAGATGGTTTTCTCCTAAAAGGTCTCTGTACTGTGAGAAGAGTCATTTGCTCCCTTGAGAGATTATGATAAATTATTACTTTATAATGTTTTTCTCCTTTTCTAAATGTTGGAGCTCTTAGTCAGACTTGGAAACACTTTCACACAAGTCCCCGGCAACCTCCAAATTCTTTTTGGTGACCTTGACATCCCCTTGGCCATAGTCCTGAGACCAGAGGGCATATAAAAATGATCACCTTTTATGAGACACTATTATGAATGATTTGATTTGCTATCCTTTATAACACCCTTTATTTTCTAGACATCTTTAGAATTTTCCACTTATCCAGCCCTGCCATCAGCATATTCTATTTACTTATTACCTCCAAACTATCAAGTGCCATCCCAACTGGAGTTTCTGTCTTCACTATTTTATTCCAGTTATTAGAAAGTATCTTATATAGAGATGGTGAAACTTGGTCTCATGTGTTATAGTGTTGTCATGGCATGCTGTCAGGAGGAATCAGTTCTTCGAAAAAAGCGTCATGATGGGAAAGGTGTAGGATCAGAGAGAGAGCACAATCTTGAATAAGATGCATAGGGCAAAGCAGTGGCTTGTGCATAGACCATGAGGATGGTGCACGATAGGGCAATGTGCAGGTCTGTCATTCGTAGGACTGCCATGAGTCACAGTTGACACAAGAGCACCCAACAACAACATACAGCATTATGTTGGGAGTGAGAACATGTGCCTGCCTTCATATCCTTAGGAGGTATTGTTTCCGTCACTTCTATACTCAAGAATCTGCACCTTCTCATTATTGTCTACTATAAGAAATCTAAACTCATAAATCCAGCCTAAAATATACATGCCCCCTTAGCCTTACTTCAAATCTCTCTTGCATCAAAACTTGGCCGGCAACAGTTACCCTAAAGACTAGTCAGCAAAAAGCAGATGGAGCTGTGGACAGTCTCAGAGCTATAGCCAAGATCATGTGAGAACCAACATACGACAGAATGACTGCAGCCACCCACGTCCTCAGAAATGGGAGCTTAAAGGCATCAGCATAATATAGACGAGAGAAACAGCTATCAAATCTTTTTAATCACATTTTAAAGCTGATAACAAACACTTTCAGTAATAGAAAATAATAAAAATCTTTTTGTTCTAGAATATCTATTCAAATGAAAAAGAGAATGAGAGAAGCTTCTAGCCCATTTCTTGATCAGAGTTACACAGGCAGAGCAGTCTGTTTAAATGTTCTGAACTTCTCTTCACAATTATCAGTACTTTGCTGTTTGGTTTTTTAAATATATATTTAAAATATATATTTTTATATATATAATATATATATCACATATATCACACACACGCATATATATGTGTGTGCGTGTGTATATGTATATATACACACATATATGTATACACACCCCCTCCATACATACACACACACACACACAAACCACTGACCTGATGCGTTAGGGAATATTCAAGAGAGAACTTAGTTTCAGAAATAAAGGCAAAGAAATCTTTGTCAGAAAAACCAGTTCATACTGTTAAGACACTGTGTTAAGTTTATAGTTTATCTTGGACTCCAGTAGAGTCCATTATTCTTTGACTCCAGTAAAAGTCCATTACAATCAAATTATCTTACTTGAGTTCCTCTCTTTCCTTCTGACAATTTCCAAGGAAGTTTCCAAACTGGCATGAATGAATATGTTCATGGATCTGAAGAAGAAACGCTTCATTGAATTCAAAGGCTTGTGGAAACTGCTCGGTCAAATGCCACACACATTCCAAAAACTGAATGAACACTGGTGAGACTTCTTTTGGGTCACCATCCAGATGGCCACACCTAACCCCACAAAAAAGCACAAGCTTTAAAGAGTGCCTCTGGCAGAAGCCCATTACACAAATATTGTTAAATTCAAACATTAGGGGGGAAACTCTAAAACACAAGAGAACTGCAGTGCTTTACTTAAGTAATTTATAGGGACTTTCTCGAAGTTCTAAATACTACAATTCAGCCAAAGAGAAATATTAAACAGTCATAAAAAGACTAAAACTAGTAAAGAAGACAAAAGAAAGGCAAAAGTTAGACCAGTCTTCACATAAATCATCATATAGAATCACAAAGCTCACATCTACCTTCAGATGTGCATTCACAAAGAACACAAACACCCAGGCAACCTCAACTAGTTAGACCACTTGGGAGGGACACAGAGGAGAGCGCAACTCACCTCTCTGAAAACTTATGTCCAAAGGAGATCCAGTCTTTTTCTATCAAGACCTTAACAAGGAAAAGGAAATCCATTTTTAACAACTTTCAGCAATATTGTTTGGAGTATTTTGTTTGATTTAGGATATTTTGTTTGTTTTGGATGATTTTTTATTTAAAAGTAGAATTCTATCCTTTTCATTTATGGTTATGGGACAGAGGAGGATATAAGACCTAGGGGAAAAAATGGTATTTGCATAGGGAAAATCCTAGAAAAAGATAAGCCAAAATGTTACTCCTAGTGATTAACTCTTGGTTGTAGATTAAAAGGATCAGAGGGATATTTAGAACCATCTTCTTACTTATACCTAAATTATACCCTATTCAGGAAAAAAATGGAGGAAGAGACCAATGCAAACAGTGAAGTTTACTATATTATTTTTTTAGATTTTAATGAAAGTTTATAGAGAACATGGATTTCCATTCATTCATTGTCACATTTTCCTCCTTGCCCATCCCTCCCCGCAGCTCGGTTCTCTTTTTGAAAAAAAAAAATAAAAATAAAATAAATAAATTTTTAAAAAACTTATTTTATTGTTATACAGTTTCTCCCTCCCTCCAGCCAACTTTGCTATGCGGCTATTCTGGACTGCTGTCATGCAAATAGTATTTAATCATATATTCCTTTTAAAAAGTTCTTTCCTTCATCTGTTTCAATGCAGTGTACATTATTTATCCCCTTTTTTCGCCGTTTCCTTCCCAACCCCAACATCGGTCCTATTTTATAACAGTGGCATTATGCAGTATTTGTCCTTTTGTGACTAAGAGATTTCACTCCGCATAATGTCCTCCAGGGTCACCCATTTTGTATAATATTTCATGAGTTCCTTGTTTTTCAATGCAGCATAGTAGTCCATTGTGTGAATATACCACAGCTTCTCTATCCATTTATTTGTTGATGGGCACTTGAGTTGCTTCCATCTCTTTGCTATTGTGTGTGTGAAGTTTACTATATTAAAAATCCCAATGTTTTCTCTAGCATCCTGACTGATAGTCTTTTTCATAGCTTTTCTAGTTACCAATTCCACAGGAATTACTTTTTTTCAGTCTAATCTAAACACAGGGAGTTTCAGTCTAATCTAAACACAGGGAGATCTGGTGGCCTAGTGATAAGAAGCCATGCTGCAATTCTGAAGCCATGCGGTTTGAATCGCCAGCTGGTCTGTGGGAGAAGAATGGGCAATGTCCTTCCCTATGATTAACTGTCTCTGAAAACATACTGGAGGGTTGGCTATGGATTGGTTCTGACTCAATGATACACAACAACAATCTAAACATATCTTCTTAGTCTTTAATATATATTATAGTTTCTTTACATAATCAACAGGCACATTCTCTTCCTGGTGTTAAAATCTCCACTTTTCACTGCTCTGATTTAATCTTCTGTCTCTATAATTTCTGCATAAAGTCAAAGAAAGTCACCACACAGGTTCAAATCCTCACTCCACCATTATGCACTAGATAGTCCGTGTGGCCATGGACAAGGGATTGTCAGGCTACAGTCTCAGATTTCACTGGCTTTGGCTGTTTTTAGATACACCCATGTCCAAAGCCTAATGCCACCCCTTTCTCAATAAACCTGCCTGTGAACAGCAGAAGAACGTCACCACACATATCTTGGCAACCAAGAAAGAACCTGGAAGCCATCTGAGATTACTCCTCCTCTCTTCCTCCCCACACCTCTTACTACTACTTCTTACTTACTTACTTCTTAGTAACCCTGGATCCACCAGCCCCTGTCCATTATCACATCACTGCGTCAGTCCTGGCCCCTCTTCTCTCTTGTATTCCTGAGATCTTTCTATGCTGGTCTCCTGGCCTCCTTTCTCACTCCCTACTGCCATCTATGAGCCACCAAGCCATCTTTAATTAGCAGGCCTAATCCAGTTTAAAATTCTGTAATGATTTCTCAATACCCAAAATGAGTCCAAAGCTCTGCCTCCCAGCCTTCTCCTTCTTAGGCCCTCATCCCACCATCACTCCTCTGTAAATGAGACCCTCAATCAATCACTCTCCTGGATCCCTCTACAGCAAATTACTTACAGGCACTGAAAGGAGCTATGAACCTGTTCAACCTGGTCCTTTGGCCTCTGAAGCTCTAGAGAGCTCCTGGTTATTTTATCACATGAAATCATGTGGTTGTCTAGCAAACAACTAAAGTCAAACATGGCAATCCCTTGTGTCACACCCTCAAGGCAAGTGCTTCTTTTTGCTGAACATCATTTCCATATTAGCAGCCTTTCAGTTTGGCCTCCAAAATTCAAAATGTCAGCACCACCAAACAATGAGGGGCGTGGTGATTTTAAACCTTCCCGTACTTTCAAATTGCACTACAATTCCAGGCAAACGGAAGCTTTCCAACAGCTTATTTTTTTCGCTCACCATGAGTTAAAACAAATTAATTTGATCATGTTAAAAGATAAAAAGCAGGAGCCAAAGATTTAACTTTATAAAGCAAAAAATATGTGCAACCAGAAATTTAATGTCCAGATACAAAACAGGCTACTTGGTAAGTCATCTTTTACAAATGGAAGAGCTTTAAATAGGAAGCTTTCTCCAAAATGTAATTTTTAAGTATGCTTTTTGTGTCTTAGATAAAAATGAGAAAGACCAAAAGATTTCTGTTGTCATTTTAGGAGGGAAAAAAATACTCCCTTTAAATCTAAACTTTCTGTCATAGAGGCACAAGTGGAAATCACTTTAACCCTAGTGTCTACACCTCAGCTCTCCTGTCATCTAGGCCAAGTTGTTGGAAGCTCCTGGCTTTAACAACTAGATCTAGCTGTACCACCCCCATCAGCTGTCACAACTAAGCATGTTTTCAAACACTGCCAAATACAGTTGTGTGGGTGAAAAGTGGGCATTTAAGAACCAGTGGAATGAATGCTCACCATGAATCCTTTGATTGTCCTGTAGTAGGAATCCAGTAAGAGAGAGCCAAGGGAACAGACCTGGGAAGTCCTATCCCAGCCATCAGAACAATGGACCAACACACTTGCATTTTCAACCATTATTGCCTGAAAGGAAAGATCACATTTTTTTTTCTCAGCAAGCTTCAGTTGAGATAAATCAATATGATCTACTGACTCCAAACTATACTCTAAATGAAAAGCCCTGGTACCCAGAGCTTGAGCACTTGGCTGCTAACCTAAAGGTTGGTGGTCTCAATCTATCAACTGCTCCATGGGAGAAGACAAAGTAGCCTGCTTCTGTAAAGATGTAAAGCCTTAGGAAACCTATGGGGCAGCTCTACCCTGTCCTGCCCTGCAGGGTCAGTATGAGTTGGAATCAACTTAACAGCAGTGAGTATGGTTTCAGTTTCAATACTAGTAGGAATCTGGGGATCAAAGGACCTAATTCTCCTCTTGTTTCCTTAGAGTAACTGGGATAGTTTGGTGTGAGACTTCGAGATAATACCAGAAGACTGGTGCTGGCAAGTAGGAACTGGTCAGACCAAGAAAGACTTATCTGTGTGGTCTCAGGGGCACCATTTACCCCACCACAACTAGACCGGCCAACCAGTCATGAAGGCAGACTCAGCAGACTTCCTCATTGACAAGAACATCTACTGTTGGGAAGGTATTATATTCCATGGGACAAGGAAGCTCCAGTTTGCAAATCTCCCAGACCTCACTCTATTCATCTCTTCATTTGTATCTTTTCTGGCTACAATAAATCTGCAACTACAAGGATGGTATACTTTGTGAGTCATTACAGCAAACCCACAGTTGTAGGGTTTGCTAGGTCAGAAAAGAAGGGAGTTGTGAACCCCTCAGCATGTGGCTGGCTGCCTGAAAGGTGTGGGAACCCAGCTCCAAGTCAGGGAGGACAGTTCTTTGAATCTGGGAGCTAGGACCTAACTCTGGGAGGCGAGGGTCAGAAAGAAAATGAGTCAGAGAGTGGCTGGTAACAAAGACAGCACAAAGTGGGAATGTGAGGACTGGATCAGCCTGCACACTTTGAAGGCTGGACCTCTGCTGCTCCTACCCTACAAGGCTGATGGCATCCTAAAGAACAGCTACCATTTTAACAGCAATGCTGTCACAGCAACATTTCCAAAACCCAAAGCAAAGCACAGACTCATGCAGAAAAAATACAACAAAAATATTATTTCCAAGTATTTGAAAATTTCTTTCGAAGTTCCTATATTAAGTGCAACATGTTATTTATAAATGATACATTAAAGTGAGTCTCACCGCATAACAAAATTACGTACTTAGAACAGATAGCACTACTCAACAAAACGGATTCATTCCTTTCCTAGCAAAACCAACCCCCCAAACAATTATTAAACAGTTACTCTGGCTAAGAAGATTGCAGCATCCATAACGGCTTTGATGTGGCGAAGCCATCCGGAGCTCTCCATACCAGAGTAGAAATCACAGACAGACAGCCCTTTGGTACCATTGACTGAAAGAGGGGGAAATTTTAATTAGCATCTAGATGGAGGTTGTACTGCTTCTGTTCAATGTGTCTCTAGGTTAGTAAACTGGAGAGAAAGGACAAAATGAATAGCAAAGTCTCTTCATAAAGCTTTGCAGATGCTATCAGAAACTCAAAAATGGATTTATAGATATATTTTTCTGTCATTTTGTGACATTTAATTATTCCATTCTCCTATGGGGGCAAAAAACCCTTGTCACAAGCATTTAATCAAAATTGACTAGTATCTTAGGATTATAAAGTCATACACTGTCAAAAAAAATACTTCTAAATATTTAAATAAAACAGCATTATCAAAAGTCAATTTTTACTATAATGACAGGCATTATCTATCAAAAAGTATCCACAAAACCACTATAGCCACATTGCCCAGTCGCGTGACCCAGACGTGGTTGCTGAATACCTACAAGGTCACTCCCACAAACTAAGACGCACCTATGGTGTGAAATACACAACGGGTTTCTAAGACTTGATTTTTTAAAAAAGATATAACATTGATCTCTTTTTTTAAATACTGACCACATTTGGAGCTCAATATATTTGTCAGTTGTTTATCACTTTTGGGAAGTAACTAATAGTTATTTAAAATTACAAAAAAAATTTTTTAAAAAATTATATGTGACTAGAAGACATTTCTATTTCTATCTAGAAGATAAACAGAAATCATACCTTCCAGTAATTTCTGAAGGCTGGACCTCATGACATGAATATTTTCAATCCCGACAAACTGAAATCTAATGTTAGAATAATTGTCTTCATTTTCATAGCCTTTGCCAGCAGCTCTGTTGGCCATAGCATTCAGCTAAAAGGAAAAAAAAACCATTTAGAGACAAATTACTTTTCATTTTTAACTTAGCTACCAAAACATCATGGAAATATTCAATATATTATCATTAACAGAGTTTAAAGAAACTTAACCAAGTTATTATTTTTTAATAAATAAAAATGTCACACGTTATTTATAATAAAGGAGGATACTGTAAAGTTATGATGTAATTGCTATAGAGGAAAGGTCCAGTCTGGAACTTCCCCACAAATAATTCACAAAGTTAATTCACTTACACTTTTAGGCAATTTTCCATAAGCGTTTAATATCTTATAATTTAAAAGATGCATATATTTCATATTTTAGTCCTAAATTTTCCAAAGATAAACAAATTAAAAAAGCTTTACTTTTATAGAACCAATCTGTAAACCTCACTCAGGACAAGCTTGAAATGTCCGATAATTGAGAAAAATGACAGGGCTCTGAAATAATGCCTCAGATTGCTTGAGGTCCGGTCCTCCATAACAGATTACTTCAGGCCCACATGGTAACCAGGACAGCCTGCAGTCTTTTAGCCTGACAGGTCTCCAGAAATCAAGCTAAAATGAAGTCAGTTTCTAGGAACACAAACTTCCTGTTGGGCATCAGCTCAGAGGCGATGCAACCCACAGGCTCACGTAGGTATGGCATGTTTAATTCTTGCAGAATAGTGCAGTACAGGAAAACCGGCAAAGCCTCAACTGGGGTAAAGCAGAAACCTGTCAGAAAAGGAAAATTCAAACATTTTCTAGTAAAATGAGGGCATAAAAGTGGTGTGACGTGAGCTTATTCCAAGGCCAAAAATTTGTTAAACATGGAAGAACAAGGCAGAGTGGCCAAGTTCCAGCTCTCAAAGTTTCACCATATTATAATTTCCTACATATGTCGACGAACTTTAAAGAAAGAATTATCTTTTTGGTTAAGGGTCTCTGGCTGCTACCAAGGTCTGTTCAATTAGATCTACTGACTCACTGGTTAGGGAGCACATCTGATGAATCAAGTGAAATTAAGAGTTAACATTAAAAACGCTTATGCTTGATGATTACATGCTTTTGAACTTGACTATCAACTCTGTCAATCAGAGGAAGACATATTTTTCATGTACAAATTCCCAAAGGTTGTACTTTTAGAAAATTGTAACTTATCTACTATTACCTAAAAATAATTCTTATTAGCCCACTTGGATTATGCAAAGAATTAAAACAAAGATTTTTCTTACAGGAGATGTTACCAACACTTTGGACTCCTAAGCAAGCCTTTGCAAAAATAATAAATATCAAATGTACAGGTGCCCTTTCTAATTGTCATTCTAATTCACTGAAATGAATCCATTTGCTCCATTATCTTTTAAGAGACTGCGCACTGATGAGAATGACTTCTAAAGCAGCTACCCCTCCTCATGAAGCTGCCTATAAGCGCTTGTGTTCTATATGGCTCACTCGCTTTCTCTCATGGCTTTCTCTTATTTCCTCATTCCAGATTTTTGAAGAAATCATCACTATAATTCTGCCAATGTCCTTTTGTGTAGCCCACCAGCTCTGCATGCGATGCTATAATAAAAATTAAAAGTAATGTTAGCTTATTATGAATTTTAATTAACTTAGGTTCAGGCTCCTATATGAATTGAATGTTTAACTGTATTTATAGCAAAAAAAGAATTGACATTTGTCTTGTTGATAAAAATATAACCTTACATAACAGATGTCTTACAAAACAAGCATTTCCAGTTGAATATTTACCATTCTCTAGTTTATTATTTCATAAGCTAACTCAACATCTCTTTTCCTCATTTTCTTGATTATTTCTAATTAAGGTCCAATATTTTAACAGAAAGTATAGTGTCAAAATTTAAAATTCTGTAAAGAATAGTTAGAATTTCTAATTTTCCATGACATAATATTGCATCACAATAGTGTAAGACACATACATAATTAAGAGTGAAATTTCCCTACATCTACGTGTGGAAGAAGACATAAGACACATGACATAAGAGATCCCCAAGTGAATCTAAGGTAGTGTCCTTCAAGTGACAAATGTGCCACTTTCATCTAGAAACCAATCAAAAAATGACTAGAGAAAAAACCAAATTTTTGGAGGAGGAGTAATTACTGCTTCTTGTTACTCTTTGAAGGTAACTCAGCTGGTGTTGCCCATTGAGCACTGTACTGCTAGCCCCAAGGGCACACCACTCTGGCAGTTTGAATCCACCAGTAGCTCCACAAGAGAAAGATTTTCTCCTGTATGACTGACGGCCTTGGAAACCTGTTAGCTCAGTTAGGAGTTGGTGCCAACTCAACAGCAATGAGTTTAAATTCTGCTTTGTAGGTGCTCTATGTATAGAGTCCAGTGGAAGCCTGAATTTGTTTTTCCAACTGCTAGCTGTTCCTTCCACCTCCACCTCACAGCCTTTTTAAGGGGATCACTTTGTCTGTGGTGTCTATCTGTTTGAAATATTTTTATTCCTATTTTGTGTTCTTTTTGCTTCTTGTATCTATGGTTTGACATGTTTCATTATTTTTGGAAAATTCCAGGTTAACTATCTCTTCAAATATTTCTCTTATTCTTCTGGCTCTCCAAGGACACATGGTTTGTTGTTGTTATTTTCAAGTGTTATCAAGCCAGCTCCTACCTACAGTGGCCCCATATACAAAAGAATGAAACGCCGCACGTCCATGAAACTATCTCCTTTAGTGCCATAGTTCTTGGATGGTCTGATCTGCTTTGCCTTTGCTATTATTTCCCCTTCGTATTTCAAGCGGAGTAATTTCTCTTGCCTCATTGTTAAGCTAACTTATTCTTTCCTTGGCTGGGTTCATGCTTTTTATTTCTAGAATTTCCATTTGGTTCTATCACAGAATTTCCATCCATCTGCTCAAATAAAATACTGGTAGATGAACAGACAAATCTCAAATGAACTATATATGCTAAGTTAAAGAACAAAGACTCAAAAAATTATCTGCTTTACAAGTCTATCTGTATGATATTCTGGCAAAGGTAAAACAAAGTATATGGGCAGAAAACAAGCCACAGGTTGTCAGAGGCTGGTGAGGTTAAGAGAAGGACAAGGAAGAATCATGGGGGTATATAGCAGGAGAGGGGTGTGGTTACATGATTATATGTGCCTATCAAAGCCCAATGAAGGTGAAACTTAACCATCTGTAAAACAAAGCAAAATTAAAAAGCTGCAAGACCCAAAAGCTTTTTCTCCAACTTAGCTCTAAAATTCAATTGACAGTAAAACCTAATGTAAAAACTATCTTTAGTCTTTCTATATCCTCACTTAGAAAATACTATGTCTGCATTTAGAATAATTCATTAAGTATGGCTGTGCTGGAGTTGCTGGTAGAATAATGTAATATACAATATATACACTATGTCAGCTTCTAAAATCTGAAAAATATTTAATTTTAAATAAAGTATAACCCATTTTGTCGCTAGAGATAGTTAAGAATGTAAAGTTAAGAATTCGAGTATATTTCCATGTTGTTGTTGTTAAGTGTTGTCGAGTCGTAGGCAACTCATAGCGACCCTATGAACAAAAATCCTCAACACTTGTGTGTCTTTCATCCTCTCTCCTGGTTCATAGGGTTCCTAAAGCAAGCTATTACGGAAGTGGATGCCACTCCTGCTTCCAAGCTTGTTTTAATCGGGGATCTCCAACCAAACACTGTCCACCATGGGTAACCATTAACACATTTGACACAAAATCAGTGTCACAGTGTTCAGCTTCACAGCAACCACAAGTTACCTCTGTACAGCAAGTGGACATACCAGGGTTATGCGACCTTTGGCTTGGTAGCATATTTCCATAAAGAAATAAAATAACTTAATGAGTTCCTTAACAACAGTAGTCTTGGCTAGTCTGAATTAGAATTCAGGTATTTTAAATACAGTAAATGGATCCATTCTTATCAATCAATCAGCATGATAAAGATGACAGCACTGCATGGTGTATGGTGTTGAGATACATACTTTGGGCCTGGTGTCCATGACATACATATAGCGGTTGACAGGATTGGCTTTACTGATGGCTTGAAGCAAATGCTCATCCTCCAGGCACCGGGCACTGAATCCAGACAGTGGTTGGCTACATCGACAAATGGCAGCCTATTTTGAAAAAGATAGAAAACCAGAGATTACCCAGAGAGCTCTAAAACACGTCTCAAAAAACTCATTAAAAAAAAAGAAACAAATGTCAAAATCAAATAAGCAACCTCATTAAAAGTTGGCAGGACAGTTAAGAGGCATTAATTTTGAAGTACAATTTCACTACTTCAACGTTCCCTAAGCTCTTTGGCTATTCTCATCTTCTAAGAAACTGAAATGCCATCTTTCTGATTAGTTGAAAAAAACACCCTGATGATTGAGTAGATCAAGTAGTCTACAGTTAAGATAAAAGCTTTTGTGCTCTATTTAGATTACAGGATACTTTCAATAAAGTTCAAGTAAGAGATTACTCAAGACAGTAGAACAGACTTTTGAAGTAGTAATACTTTAACTTTGCAAATGTTTTCAGATGTCTGGTGGTAGTGTATTCTGTACAAAGTTGTAGTGCTAATCCAAAGTCCAGAACTCCCTGGAGGTTCAACTCTACCAGTGGCTCCCCAGAAAGATGGGCCATCTCCTCTGAGGTGATTTACAGCCTCTTAAAACCTGCTGGAGGGTAAGCTATGAGTCAATTCCAACTCAACAGAAGGGACTGACTTGAAACCAAGATCCATAGTCACCAATTAATTACAACTTATGGTGACCTCATGTTTTATAGGAAGAACTGACATCTATTTTAAGCTTCACTTCCTCATTTGTCTTTGTAACGATCTTTTTTGCAATCTTCATGAATGATATTCTCAATATAGTCCCACAGCTCATCTGGTCTTCGTTCATTTCTGCTCAATGCCTCAACCCTGTTCCTGAGATGGTTTTCAAATTCAGCTGGGATAGACTCAAGGTCAAATTTTGCTTTTTTTTCTTTTTTTAAGGTGGCTCCATTGCCATCTTTACTCTAACTTAATTCTTTTTTTTAAAATTTGAATTTGTTATTAATTTCAGTGAAAATTTACAGAGGCTTTGGATTTCCATTCATTCATTGTTGTAGATTTGTCCCCTCCCAAGGCTCCCCCCCCACCAGACATTACCCTCTTAGAAAAGTAAAAGATTCTTTCATTATTTAACAAACACTCCCCCAGGTCCACTCCACCACATAGCCATTGTTCTAGA